TGCCAAGTGAATGTGCATTTTTAAAATTGATTTCCAATCTCTCTCACTATTTGTGCTGATAATTAACTGGTTCATTGACTGCTATAGTATGTATGGGTGTAGTGCCACGGAACCGATAAAAGCAGTGGATTTGATGGAAACAGAAATGCAGCTTGGTAGGAAGAGAGTATTGCTATTTAAGTCATGCTCACAACACCAGAGCTAATCAGTCTAACCCATCTGCACAGAATCCTCACAGTGAAGTCTCACACACACCATCTCTCCTGCCAGTAATAATATAATAATAATCCTTGCATTTTTCATTTTTCACGTCTTTGAGATGTCTCAAAGCGCTTCACAGAATAGACTGTAAAGTGAATTGACTGTATATTTGTGGGCAAAATGCACATCTGATACATTCTCCACACTAGTGTTATTACCTGTAACTACCCCTTGAATAAGAAGTTCACTTTTAGAGTTAACCACGTGCACTCTTGCTAATGCTTCAACTTCTGTCTGCCCTCACAGCACTGAGTGCACATGGAGTCCAACGTCTGAATCATTGAACCTTGATCTCTCCCTTCCACTTTGAAGAGATGATTAAATCCTTGTAGTTTTCAATTCCTTTTCAACAGATGTCACTGCTAACCTCTGTTGACTCCATTGTTAATCCTTCTTCATCCATTAACATTCTGGACCCCTCTATCTTTTTGAGTGCTTAAGCTGCCAACAAGATCTTCTGTTTTCCTCTCAAAACATTTCCCCTTAACTTCCATATAAGATCTATAAAATAATTATAATCCTCACATTTGTTATAGAGCTTTTCATGTCAGAGGACGTCTCAAAGTGCTTCACAGGATTTACCGTAAAGTCTAGTGACTGTGTGCTTTGCAGGTGAACGCAAGAGCCAGTTTGTCCACAGCAATCAATGTCCCAGAAACATCCACAAAGTAAACAACCAATTTTATTTGTAAGCTTTGCAAGCGAGAGACCTGAGTTCAATTCCAGGCAGGGCGAAACCTTGGGCAAGTTTCCTTACTCCACACAGAGCCTAATAATAATCCCTCCAAAACCAAAAACAATAATAAATTGGTCACTTTCAATCCACGACTGTTTGTGGGACATTGCTGTGCGCAATTGGCTGCCGCGTTCGCCCACAAATATACAGTCAATTCACTTTACAGTGTGTTCTGTGAAGCGCTTTGGGATGTCCTCCTGACATGAAAAGCGCTATATCAAATGCAAGGATTATTATTATTATTATTATTTGGGGGTTTGTTGACCAGGACACCGGGAGAAATTCCCTTTTCTTTTCATAGGATCTTTAACGTCCACTTGCACAGGCAGAGAGGACCTCTGTTTAACATCTCATCAGAAGAATGGCACTTTTGACAATGCAACAAACCCCCAGCACTGCATTGGAGTTTCAGCTTAGATTATTTATTTCCAAATCCCAATGTGGGGCTTGAACCCACAACCTTCTGACTCCGAGGCGAAAGTGCTACTAATGAGCCAAACCAGGCTTTCAGAGCACATATTTTGTCTTCAATCACTTCAACGTACCCCTTTGCTACTTAGCACAAACCCTCCCAACCTTTAACAACCCTCAGAAACCGCACAGTGTTCATATGATCTGTGTAGTTGCCTGGGCCAGTGTGTTATTGCCATGTCATGCACCCTAATAAAGTACAAACCCTCCCAACATTCAGCAATTCATAATAATGAGCCAATTATTCAACAAAATAAACAGCGATGAAACTGATCTGCATTCTGCCTCAGGAAAATAAGTGAGTGTGACATTTCAACACACTGCAAACTGCATTGCACAATGAGAAGAGTGAGTTTTGTGTTACATTCCCATGGAGATATTTCATGAATTTCTAATAGGCCTGAAACTCTAACTCACATTGACTTCCACTCAGGGCTCTATTTATATTATCCAGGTTGTAGATCACTTGCTGCCCATTCTCGGTGAACTTAAAAGTTATTGATTTATTCCTTCTGAACTAAGCTACTTGTCTCTTTTATGCCATCTCTTCCTTTGCTTCTGAAAGCATTCGATTCACTTTATTCCTTCTAATGGACGAAGTTGCCCTCCAGTGCCGCATTACAATGGTACTGACAGTGAATATTAGCAAAGCTTTCAACTCCGGAAGGGTAGCATTACAGTTGATTCCAATCTTCACATGAAGGCCCCACGTACTCGGGGCCAGTAGGGGGCGCTAGATGTGAATCAAGATTGGGAACCTTTGTGGTTATTCCCCTTACTGACCCCAAGTTCTGAAGCCAATTAAAGGGAGACTAATGCTATTCTGACTGAACTCAGCACAGACTGTGGATTAGGAACATAGGAAACCGGAACAGGAAGAAAGTCATAAGACAATGGACCTGTTCCACAAGTTTAATCCTAATTTCCTTTCTCCATACCCACATCTACAAAAACTATAAATTACATTTGTAAAGCGCCTTTCACGTCAGGAGGACGTCCCAAGGCAATGGAAGTACCCAAGTACCTAATTACCCATGTATCTATCTCTTTTACACATCACTATTGATTCCTCTTCTACTGCTTTTTGGAGCATTGTGTTCTACATCCTCATAAACCTCTGTGTGAGGAAATGCTTCCTAACCTCAATTCTCCTGGCTCTGATTTTAAGGTTCTGTCCCTTGGAACAGATCCCTCTACCAGAGGGAAGGGTCAACAACAATAATCCCTTTACCCTCTGCTGGAAGGAATAAAGCCCCAGCCTGCCAGTCTCTTAGTATAACAACTTCAGGCCAGGAATTAGTCTAGCAAACCAATAGTGGACACCCTTCAAGACTATTGGGTCCTTCCGAGATTGGGTGTCCAAAATTGAACAGCTGTCTGACCAGTGCTCTGTATAACAGGAGCAACACCGCTTTACTTTTATATTCCAGACTTCTTGTAATAAAGGCCAGAATCTCATTGCCTTATTTGCTGCTTTCTGCACCTGGGAATTTAAGTGATGCGTGGCCTTGAATGCTAGATCTCTCTCCTCATCTACCCCTCCTGGTGCTCCCCTGGAATCTTGACACTGATACATTTACCCACTGAAACATAAAGGGAAGCATTTTCCTAAATATATATAGTTTCACATAAGTGGAGTATTTGTACATGTTTTGACGTTGTGCTTGCAGGTGTATTCACAACTAAGCTGTGTCACAATTCGATGTACGTTAAACATGCATAATCTTTGGTGGAGCGAGGATTATTGAATTTCCGTACAACCTTGCAGGTCCCACTGCCGACCCATCAATCATCATTTAGCTTTATTTAATGTCTTGTGAATGCCCAAACAATGCGCTCAGCAACTTGTCTGCCGGGTTCCTATACCTTCTGTTACCACTTGTGATCATTTTTAATAGGATAAAAGCCCTGGAGATGTCACAACGCATTACAATCCGGAGAGTGAGCACATTTGCACCCTTCCTTTGTGTGGCTTGAAAAATCCACTGCAACAATTCACAACTCTTACATAACACTCAATACGGGTCCGCAGTATTGCCAAAGTGTGACGATCTCCGCCTGCTTAGCGCTCAACCCCGGGCAACCATTTTCCCCTGGAGCCAAATTGTTGCAATATCCTTTTCAACAGGATTCACTGTCTTTACTTCCTCTCCCGCGTGTACTCTGCGGGTTCTTTGTGGTCAGCCGGGTGTCCGACACGTGCGGGAAACCCATCACCACGCGCGAGAGTCTCCAAACCAAGCTGAGGATTCCCAATCCGGACCATGGATGGTCCAGTAACAATCAAGTAATTCAGTTGCATAATAAATGTCCGTATTTGATGTGAATGACTGTCAGCTGATGGAGCTAAGTGGTGGGGGTGGGGGGTGGGGGTGGGGGGCGGTGTCGTGGTGTTGGTTGCAGTGCTGGGAAGCAATGATGTAGCCAGATTGGGGCGTGTTTGACGCCCAATTGGGCGTGTTTCTCATCAATTGGGCGTGTTTCTCATCAATTGGGCGTGTTTCTAACTTTTAACCCCCCACCCACCCAAAAAAAAACATTTAAACCCCGTCAACCCCCCCCTCCACCACCTCTGAAGACGTTTTCTTACCCACTTTGTCAAAAAGTTAAGCTGCATTGGGCAATGTGTGTTGCAACCCCCCCCACACCCCCACACCCCCACACCTTAGAGGAGGCGGTTGCATAACATTGGGCTACTTTTGGGGCGTGTTTCGGACTCTGAACCCACGTTAAACCACCGGTAGCGTTGGCCGCAGCTCTCGCAGCGGATCGCCAGCGCAGCCCTTCGCTGATTGCGGTCCCGGTAACGGGAGCGCAAAGAAGTTGGCAAAAACTTCCCCAAGAGAGCAGTCGGTACCTACATATTTTTTTTTCCTCTCTTTTTTTTTTGCAAAGCAACACGCGAAAAAAAACCCCAACAACAACAACAACATCAAATCAAATAAAAGCCACAGAAGAAGAAGAAGAAAAAGAAGAGATTTTAAAAACAAGAAAGAAAAAGAAGAGACAAAAAAAAGAGGAGAAGAAGAGGGGACTAAAAGGAGAACGCACAGAGAGAGAGAGAGAGAGAGAGAGAAAAGAGAAGAGGCAGAAAACAAAAAGAGAGAGAGAAAAAAAGAAGCAAAAGGGGAAAGAGAGAGAAAAAAAGGGGAAAGAGAGAGAGAGCAAAAGGGGAAAGAGAGAGAGAGCAAAAGGGGAAAGAGAGAGAGAGAGCAAAAGGGGAAAGAGAGAGAGAGAGCAAAAGGGGAAAGAGAGAGAGAGAGCAAAAGGGGAAAGAGAGAGAGAGAGCAAAAGGGGAAAGAGAGAGAGAGAGCAAAAGGGGAAAGAGAGAGAGAGAGCAAAAGGGGAAAGAGAGAGAGAGAGCAAAAGGGGAAAGAGAGAGAGCAAAAGGGGAAAGAGAGAGAGAGAGCAAAAGGGGAAAGAGAGAGAGAGAGCAAAAGGGGAAAGAGAGAGAGAGAGCAAAAGGGGAAAGAGAGAGAGAGCAAAAGGGGAAAGAGAGAGAGAGCAAAAGGGGAAAGAGAGAGAGAGCAAAAGGGGAAAGAGAGAGAGAGAGAGCAAAAGGGGAAAGAGAGAGAGAGAAAAAAGGGGGTTAGAAACCCGCCCCGCGATGCAGACCCCGAGCCCCGGGGGGCAGAACTCTGTGGGGGTTAGAGACGTGAGAGAGAGTCACCGCCGGGAGTCGGTTCAGCTGTTGGTCTTCAACTTTTTGCTGATCGTCACCATCCTCACCATTTGGCTCTTCAAACACCGCAGAGTCCGCTTCCTGCACGAAACCGGCGGCGCGATGTTTTACGGTGAGAGCGTTATAACAGAGACGGGGGAGAGGAGGGGGAGAGAGGGGGAGGGGATGGGGGGGAGAGAGGGTGGGGGTTATAACAGAGAGAAGATGGGGGGGAGAGGGGATGGGGGAGAGGGTGTGGGTTATAACAGAGAGAAGATGAGGGGGAGAGAGGGGATGGGGGAGAGGGTGGGGGTTATAAAAGAGAAGATGGGGGGAGAGGGGATGGGGGAGAGGGTGGGGGTTAGAGGGTGGGGGTTATAACAGAGAGAAGATGGGGGGAGGGGGAGGGTATGGGTTATAACAGAGAGAAGATGGGGGGGAGAGAGGGGATGGGGGGAGAGGGTGGGGGTTATAAAAGAGAAGATGGGGGGAGAGGGGGTGGGGGGAGAGAGGGTGGGGGTTATAAAAGAGAGGGGATGGGGGGAGAGGGTGGGGGTTATAATAGAGAGAAGATGGGGAAGAGAGAGGGGATGGGGGGAGAGGGGGATGGGCGAGAGAGGGGTGGGGGGAAGGAGAGAGAAAAGAAGAGGGGATGGGGGAAGGAGAGAAAGAGTGGGGGGAGGAGAGAGAGAGTGAAGGGGGGAGGGGGGGGGAGAGAGAAAATAGGAGGAGGGGGAAAGAGAGAAAAAAAATGTGCAGCTTTTGCGACGTTTTGCTCTCAGCAGAAACCCTTTCCGGACAAAAACTTCAGACCTCAAACTGCAAACCTCCAACGGAACTGAGTCTCAGCAAAACAACAGCACTCAGTTAGTTGATCGCTGGTTGTCACTCAGATGCCTCAAACACACACACACAAAAAGTTGCTGACTTTGCATCCTTTCCCTGTCTCTCTCCCCCCCTTTCCCTCTCTCTCTCCCCCCCTTTCCCTCTCTCTCTCCCCCCCTTTCCCTCTCTCTCTCCCCCCCTTTCCCCCTCTCTCTCCCCCCTTTCCCCCTCTCTCCCCCCTTTCCTCTCCCCCCCCCCTTTCCCCTCTCTCCCCCCTTTCCCTCTCTCTCTCCCCCCCTTTCCCCCTCTCTCCCCCCCATTCCCTCTGTGCCTCTCAAAGTGCAAGAGGAAGGGAATAATTCACAGCAAAAAAAAAGTTGCAGTCCACCGAGGAGACGTGGCATCTCTGTCTCTCTCTCTCTCTCTCTTAAACACGAACCGTCTGTGTTATTCAGAGTGGATCCGGCGTTGTACTTTTGTCACTCAGGGCTACAGTGTGTGTGTGTGTGTGTGTGCAAACCATCAGGCGGTGGGGAGTGTTGAAGCTGCAGAGTTAACTGTTCTGCAAGTGAAACACTATTTAACGTTACGCTAAATCAGGGTTCAGCCTCGGGCTCTCAGCCAGGAGATTGCACTCAGTTGCTTCCAGTGGGTAAATCGATCATTATCTGTGATTTCCTGCAACAAATCGTCAGCTGTTGACCATTTTTGCTACTTCTGTGCCCCGACTGTCCTAATGTTAATCCCTCCAAAAACCCCAAACAATAATGAATTGGTCATTTTCAATCTGCGACTGTTTGTGGGACATTGTTGTGCGCAATTGACTGCCGCGTTCGCCCACAAATATACAGTCAATTCACTTTACGGTGTGTTCTGTGAAGCGCTTTGGGACGTCCTCCCGACGTGAAAAGCGCTATATCAAAAGCAAGGATTATTATTATTATTAATGTGCTAATTCAGTATAGTAGCTGAGGGTTGGGCTGAGTTTCTAAATTGGTTGCTGAAAGTGTAGCTTTATTCAAAGTAAGTCTGATCCCAGTGTTAGACCGGTTAGATATGATGGTTAACTGGATAACTTCAGGTTGTTCTTCCTTGAGGAAGGGAAGTGGTGTGGGCAGAAGAGACCGTATGGGGTATATAATCCTAATTCTTGCATATTTAATATAACGTCTTATCACATCATTGGGATGTCTCAAAGCACTTTGCAGGATATACTATAAAATGGATTGACTGTATTCTGTGGGGGAAACACAGCAGTCAGTTGCTTACAATAATGTCACAAACAGCCATGGAATGAGTGAGCAATTTTTTTTTGTGGGGGTTGGGGGCAATTGTTGCACAAGACACTGGGAGAAACCCTCTTCTCTTTTCAAATAGCACCATGGGATCATTAAGGTCCACCTGGACAGGCAGACGGAACCTCAGTTTAACGTCTAATCTGAAGGACAGCCGGTTGACTGTAGCATTGGGAGTCAGCTTATTTTCTGACAAATTACCATCGAGTGATTCCTCCTTGAGGGGAAGGTGAGCGGAATCTCTTTGAAGCTGAACAGGCTCAATGCTGGAATCGGGTCAGTCCTCTGTGGTGCACAGTTGTCCAGTTCCAAGCCAGGCAGGTCCACAGTACTCCAGGGCACTGCTGATGACAGCGCAGCCAGCCTGGCTCATCGGGAGGACTTTGAGAGGTTGATGTGTCACTGAGAATCGGGTGTCTTCCTACTCAGCTCCTGTTAATCCTGCAGTGCCCCATCGCATACTTTGGAGTCCCCGAGCCTTGGCTCTTGGCTGGCCTTGGCCAGCCTGTCCCTAATATTCTCTCCAGGCCTTCCATTCTGAACACGGAAATGTCCATGTGTGGGGGACGTTTTGCCCACAAAATGTACAGTTAATTCACAGTATATTCTGTAAAGTGCTTTGAGACGTCTCGAAGATGTGGAAGGCACTGTATCACATGCAAGGATTATTATTGTTATTATTTTATAATGTGTGGCACTCTCAGTCTGGTTTGGATACTTTTAAACACGATGGTGGGTTTCTACATGTGTCAGACACTTGGCTGACTGAAATAAAATTGCTTCAGCCAAGCTGAGGGAGAACTGAAAAAGGGGAAATGTTTTTGACATAGACCAGACAGGGGTAAGCTGGGTGGGGGAATTATTCATTCAAATGTTTCAAAACTGCCACCCATGAAGTGTGCCATGTAATTACAAATTGATGTTGAAAGAGGCAAACAACAACAAAATTACATTTATAGAGCGCCTTTCCAGCTTGCACCAGCGAATTTCCACAAAGAACAATAAGATGAGCTTTAAAGGGGGAACAGAAGAAAATCCCAGGTCCATTTTATTAAAATTTTGACTTTGAATTTAATATTGTTTTTTTTTTTTGAAAGGTCTGCAGCATTCCGAGCAAGGCGTTGATCTTTAATAATATTCAGGGTTTGGTCTGGGAGCACGGTGACACAAATAGAACATTAATGATGGTCTTTGCTATTGAAGAGGCTCAGAGCCTCTTATTATAATGCCTAGAAACTAATGGCAGGGACAGAATGTTCAAGACACAAAATAAATTATGGAATAGGTTTCTAGATAGAGCGAATATGGATTCAACGAAGCATTTAAAAGCAGACATGGAGAGAGAGGCTCCAGGGAGCAAAGGAAGATGAGCTTGGTATGAAGGCGATAGGAAGTTCTTTTGCATGCCAGGTTGACCTTGTTATTGGGATAATTTCAGATTCATTTTTCATCTCCATCCAATCGCTGTGACCATGCCCTTGTTGCTCTCCCTTCTCCATTACCAATTGTACAGTCGCACCTCAGGGAGGAAGACAAAAAGATGTTAATCTAAAAAATATGACCAGGTCGCCAGGATAGCGCAGACAGATGTTCTTTTTCTGTGAGATTCAACATTAGAACTGTACAGCGCAGCATCTGACAATGTGATGAAGACAATTTTACATCTTGTAAATCCCCAAGGATAAAATAAAGCATTAAGCAATCTGCAGACTATTCATGGCTCACTCTCTTTCAGAGACAAATATTTGTTTCTGAGCAGCGCCTCTGAATCGAGTCAATGCCCGACTGTATATTTTGTCCCCAAAATACACAGTCAATCTACTTTAGAGTATATTCTGTGAAGGGCTGGAACATTCAAAAATCAGAGGATATGTGAAGAAGATATTGTAGTGGAATTAGGGGAGGGGATAGAGTGTAATGCAAATAGAATTATGAGTAACAGTGAATTCCTTAAATTAAATAGCTTTCCTAAATTGCTACATATGATCTATTTCATGAGACGCTACCCTGCATGGAGGGCATTACAGAAGTGCATGTTGTTGTATTAATGAGTGATTTGATGGCTCCATTTCGCATCAGTATAAACCTGTTCACCGACAAAATACAAAATCACAACACTTTACAGTATACGCTATGAAGCGCTTTGAGGCGTTCTCGATGTGAAAGGCTGTATCATCAAATGTAAGGATTATAATAATAAGATTACTGGCATTGTGAGAGCTTCTGAACCAACACTCATTTATTGTATTGTCTGCTGCTTAGGGCTGTTAATGGGATTGATCCTTCGTTACACCATCCCACCCACCGACCCCGCCAACAGGGTTGTGCATAGCTGTTCGAGTGTGACCACCAGCCCTGTCACCCTGCTGCTAAATGTTACCGACCGGCTGTGCGAGTACGAGTATAAGAGGGACATTGACGAGGACAACCTGAACGACCGCCAGGGAAATGAGATTCTTCGGAAGGTGAGTTTTTTCCACGCAGAATAGTTAGTGTCTTTCTCCTTGACAGAGTGTGGATCATGCTTAATCTAGGATAACACAGCCACAAGTGTATTACACAAACCATCAGTGTAAATGCAAGAGTAAGCTACCTTTCTCAGCAGCCAGACCCCCGCAGCTATATACTGTATAACACCTGATTCATACTCTCATTGCTATTCTACCACAATCGTACTGTGGTGACATAGCCATAAGTGGGAATGTGTTTCACGGGTGGAACATAATTTAAAAAATTGAGCGAAGCAATGAACTGGAGGATGATTTAATTTTCAGTCTTCTGATGTATTTGCCTCTGAAGTTCCTTCCAACACGCTGTGCGCCAGGGTCAGCTGGCCAGTGCTTGAGAAGCCATGATGGCTTTGGTCCCAGGTCATCAGCTCACCTTGAAATTGGCTGCCGCAAAATACAGGCTCACTGCACTTTACTGCAAATCCTGTAAAGTGCTTTGGGATGTTTTGTGAAAGTGATGAGGTGCTGTTTCAAACGCAAGAGTTATTTTACGCCCCATTATGGAAGAAGGCCCCATTACTGTTGTTAGATGCCTGACTGTAAAGTGAGGGGACGTTCAGGTATTGGCTGTATGAACGAAGCTCTCTAAGGAGGAAGTGAGTGGTTACACACAGGAACTTCCCTTGCTGCGGGACTTGTTGTGTGACAAGAAATGCCAGCTAAATCATTTTGTATACCAGTGCTGCTTGTTTGTAACACTCTGCTGCTTTCCGAGAGCAAGGTTTGATAAAAAGTAACTAAGCAACCTAGCACATCTACCTGTTCCTGCGTACTCCTTCTTTACGAGCTTGTAGTGAATGCAGTGGTGGGGCTTCCTACGGTCCATTTCTTAAGTCCAGGAACAAGGAGTGGGATGGATTTGCGCAAACGCGGGAAGGGGAAGGAGAGAGGGAGGGAGGGAGCGCTCTAGCCTACATTGACTGGATTGTCGCTTAGCAACAACAACAAATTTACATAACGACAACAACAAAAAATTATACAGCGCTTTTCACAGATCGGGAGGATGTCCCAAGGCACTGTACAGTTAAGTGTTTGCAACCAAGCTCGGAGTTGGGAACAAGAGGGGTGGGGGGATGGAGTGAGAGGCTGGGGTGAGAGATGTTAGGGTGGCCGAAGGTACATTCAAAGAGGAAGGTCTTGAGACAGGCTTTGAAGGAGCTTAGGGAGGGGGCCAGATGGAAGGATTCCGGGATGGAGTTCTAGAGGGTGGGGGCTTTCACATCGGGAAGACATCCCAAGGAGCTGACACCTGGAAGCTTCACAGGGCACGTCATTTTGCCAAGGCCCCTGACATGAGGACCTGGATTAGTTGCTTTGCTCAGTAAAGCTATCAGAAAGCTTAAAGCTGCTGGAAGGCATTACCTGGAGTCCAATTCGTCACCATGCATTTGGATATCCAGAGCCTGGAGTCCACCTCCCTGCTTGATCCTTGACTTTGCAAATAGGTTCGGAGGAAGCCTCTCCGTTGCATCGTCAGGTGGATTGCACAGGACCAAAAGATGGGCCAGCTTACTCAGTATATCTTGCCATTGAGCCCGCCAGGCTGTGCTGGTCACCAGCAAGGCACTACCACTGACAGCACAGCCAGCCTGGCTCATCAGCCAGAACTAGAATGGCAGACCATGGGGATGGGGATAGGGACTCTTCACACTCCGTACTCATTAACCCTGCCTAATGGGTAGGGTAGCCCTAGCTGGACAAGCAGCCGGAAAGCTTGCCAGACAGCGCTCTAGTGGCAAGCTATGCAGTTTCGCTGATTAGACTCAAGCAGTTACCCCAATGCACACTCTGGGGTCCCCGAGTCTTGGACTCTTGCCAACCTGCATCTAATGCTTTCCGGAATTAGATAAACAGGATGCATCCCCCCAGGGAGAGAGTGCATGTTTCATTCCGATAAACATCTGTGTAGGTAGGATGCACGGAATTCTTAGTTGGTATGGATATTCTTAAGCATAGTGAGGGGTTTCTGCACGTGTCAGACACCCGGCTGACCAAAAAAAAAGGGCTGTGCAGCTTTGTTTGTCTCGGTGCCTTTTGCAAATAATACAATAAACTGGGTGAGTGTAATGGAGCAATGGTGGGAGCGAAGGTTAATGATGAACACAAACCTCTTTGTGGAAATGACTGCTCTGTGCGCTGAGTGTAGCAAATTCGTTGATGTGCACTTCTAATGGGGGAAATCCTGTTAGAGACGCACGTCAGGAAATTTGCCACACTCAAACAGAGCAGAACAGTTCTCTTTGTTGCCCATAAGATTTTGACAGAGCAGAGGATGCGGTAATATGGGTAACAGTTTGTTCATTGGTACAGGCTCAGACATATTATTTATCCCTGCATGTTTAGACAGGAGTGTATCACACATTGGCATCAAGACATTTCAGCGACACACTTTGAGTAACAGGAATTTAGTTCCATGCACTTTACATTGAGGCCTGTTAGCTGAACCTGGGATCTGCAGAGACTTGTAGCTGTTGCAGTTTGTTCTTTCTCCCCCTGGGTCTCTCTCTCTCTCTCTCTCATTCACCACGATTGACGAGCCAGGCACAGAACCTTCATGAAGTCAAACACACAGGCATAGAATGTGACTGCTCACACCAAGCGAAAGTGGGAGTTGCATTCACTGACAATGAGATCAATTACAACTCCCATTTAAATAAGCATTTTATTTTCGCTTCAGTTTGCTCCCCTCTGCTGCTAAAGCACTGGCAGTCACTGGAGGACAGACGCGCTCTGGTATCTCGTTCAAGTGGCCATTCATCTTGTGTGCACTTGGACAATCGTGTGTGATGTGCGCAGTTGGCTGTGTAAGTCATCTTTTCACTGTGTTTATGCTGGAGCTTTCCATTATAAACACAGTTAAAAATTTGCAAGTGCTGGAGATTAGTGCGCGATGGACCCAAATAAATGTTCATAGACCGTTCAACTGTGCAGCAAGTTACAGCCAATCACGCAGCCTCCACAGCTGGATTGATTTCGAAGAGCGATGCTTTAAAGCCGGAATCTTTGTGTGAAAGCTAATAATAATAATCCTTGCATTTGATATGGAGCCTTATCACACTATTAAGACATCTCAAAGAACTTCACAGAGTTTATTGTAAAATGGATTGATTGTCTATTTTGTGGGCGAAACGTGGCAGCTAATTGCGCACAGCAGTGTCCCACAAACAGTCGTGGATTGAGTGACCAAGTCATTAGTGTTATTCTGAGGGGGGGGATCATTAACCTAGGAAAGCAATCCATCAATCGACTAACAACTGGGTTACTACTTGCTGATAGGTAAACAGAGGAGTGTGGAGTAAGGAAATTTGCCTAAGGTTTCGCCCCAGCTGGAAATTGAACCCGGGTCCTCGCACATGCGAGGTGAGCACACTAACCACTAATCTGTGGGACTCCATGTTGGCAGGTTTGAGAAAATTGAAGTCTCTGGAACAAACAACAACAACAACAAGATTCCATTTATAAAGCGCCTTTCACGTCAGGAGGACGTCCCAAGGCGCTGCACAGTTGGGTCATAACCCGAGCAGGGGGGAAATGGTCAGGGTGAGGGGAGGGAAGGGAGGGAGCGAGGAGGGGGAAGAGAGTCGAGAGGGGAGCTGAAGGCTCGGTCAAAGAGAAAGGTTTTGAGACCGGCCTTGAAGGAGGAAAGGGAGGAAGCAAGGCGAAGGCACTGGGGGATAGAGTTCCAGAGCCTGGGGGCTGAGAGGCTGAAGGCCCGACCACCGATGGTAGGGCGGTTGGGGCGGGGGACGTGGAGCAGACCGGAGCCAGAGGAACGGAGGGTACGGGCAGGTAGGTAGGGGGATAGTAGGTCGGAGAGGTAGGAGGGAGCAAGGCCGTGAATGGCCTTGTAGGTGAGGATGAGGATCTTGAAATCAATCCTCTGGGGGATGGGGAGCCAGTGGAGGCGAGCGAGGGTGGGAGTGATGTGGTCCCGAAGCCTGGTGCGGGACAGTACACGAGCTGCAGAGTTCTGAATGACCTGCAGCTTGTGGAGGGAGGTGGCGGGAAGGCCGGCGAGGAGAGAGTTCCCATAGTCCAGCCTTGAGGTGACAAAGGCGTGGACCAGAGTTTCAGCAGCGTGAGGGGTGAGGTAGTGCCGTAGTCTGGCGATGTTCCGGAGGTGATGGAAGGCGGTGCCAGTTGTGGTGCGGATGTGAGGGAGAAAGGACAGCTCAGGGTCGAACAAAACGCCGAGGTTCCTGACTGGCTTTGAGAGGTGGAGAGTGCAGCCTTGGATGCTGATGGTGTCAGCGCCTGAGGTGCGGAGGCGCTGACGTGAGCCAATCAGGAGGGCCTCGGTTTTTCGCACGTTGAGCTGAAGAAAGTTGTCTCTCGTCCAGGACTCGATGTCGGACAGGCAGGCTGTCAGGACATCGGTGGTCGTGGAGTTGAGAGTAGAGGAGGAAAGGTAGAGTTGGGTGTCATCCGCATACATGTGGAAGTTAACTCCATGTCTGCGGATGATGTCACCAAGGGGGAGCATATAGAGGGTGAAGAGGAGGGGACCAAGGACAGAGCCCTGAGGGACACCACATGAGACAGTGCGGGGGGTGGAGGAGAAGCCATTCGTCGAGACGAAATGAAGACGGTGAGAAAGGTACGACCTGAACCATTCAAGGACAGTGCCTTGAAGGTTGAGGTGGGAGGACAAGCGGTGGAGTAGGATAGCGTGGTCGACCGTATCGAATGCTGCCGATAGGTCGAGGAGGACGAGGAGACAGAGGGAGCCCTGGTCACAGATGGTCAGGATATCATTGGTGACCTTGACCAGGGCAGTTTCTGTGCTATGGGCAGCACGGAAACCTGACTGAAGGGGTTCGAAAAGAGAATGGGTGGAAAGGAAAAGAATGGTGAGGATGGCTGGATAGAACAGCAGGTACATTGGCTGTGGGAAAACCTCTTTTCTAAAATATCTATTTATTTGTAAATATAATATTTTGTACAAAAGAAATCCA